AAGGTAAGACGCGTCAAAGTGCTCGGGCAGCGCCGGGGCTGGGGGGTAGAAGGCGCACGGTCAGTCCGTCCATCGAGGGATGGAAAACCGGCGTTTCCCGAAGGGTTCCCAACGCCACCTGCTGTTCCTTTCTCCCCGAGCCTGACGGGGACTGTCCCTTGCATTTCCAGCACCCAAGGTCTGCGATGCCTGCAAAAACAAAAATGAAGACGATAACGACATCGTGGAAAACCTCTGCAAAAATGACTTTGGTAAGTGGAAGCAGAGACCTCTTGGTTGAAACTTGAGAGTTGAGGATCAGGTAAACTCCCAGTGGAATGAGAGGGAGATGTGCCTGAATAAAGGCAGGGCATTGTCTTATCTGCAGATGGACCCATCTGACTGTTTGGTCGTGAAACACGAAATTCCACCTCGGCATAAAAAGTGGCCCTCTTTATAGTCCTTTTCTGTTTGCTGTTTCGAAGTAGTGCTCTTTTATGTGGATGTTGCTGGCAAGCCGAATAGAAAGTAAAATGGAAAAAAAAAAAAAGAATCTTTCATCCAGACTATTGCCTGGGGAAAAGCAGAGCAAAGTTTCATTTAGACATATGAGAAGGACCCGCATGACCAGTCTCGTGTATCATAAGACTCTCTCTGCAGATTAAGAATGAAGCTCTATATATCATTTGACAGAGAAGGTAATGCACAGACAATTGGGGATATAAACTTAATGGGAAGATCTGGGGTTAGAAGAGGACAAGAAAGCCCCTTCAACACAGACAACTGAACGGCAGATTATCCACACATTAGCATTTCAAGAGAAAAAGGGAATAAGGAGGGGAATCCTTTTATAATAGGTCAATGTTTATACCTGAAAACAGATTCGTAGTATAAGTATCTACAACAATTCAAAAGTCTCTCTTTAAAAAAAAACACCACCCAAAACATGAAACTATGACTGTGGGACATAATTGCTAAAACAACCAATAGCTTTGGCCTGGCAAATTGCACTCAGATAAATCCTCCTAAAGCTAAACATGCCCCACAGATTCTTACAGAGCCCTGTATCCCCCTCCTAGTTATTTTACCAAATCGAATGCAGCTGTTGGACCAATTTGCCCTCCACGGGATCTATTCTTTCAAAAAAACAATGCATGTGAAATATCATTTCCTTACAGGTTTGCTTAAAATCCGCTCCAGCCTAATAAATTAAGTTTAGAAGTTTTTAGCCGCAGCAGAGATCAGGTTTCAGATTAGGTCTAGGTACTCACCTCCCCACCTCCCCTTCAAACTCTAGTTTCAGGAACACTGTCCTCTCCCAGCCAAAATGGGAGCGCTGCTTAATGTAGCAAACCTGCCCTCTCTCTGTTTGCAAACAGGAGAAAATACTAATTTAGAAAGGAAGGAAAAAGGGGGGGAGGGGGAAGAGGAGAAAAGAAACCCAAAAAACCTCAACCCTAAGGTTGATTCAAACTGAAATGACTTGCATGCCCTTTGTGGCTTTAGAAATGGAGCCACCTGCTGCCTCTTCTGTCAGCCCTGACAGTTTAATTAGCAATAGAGCACCTCCCTCCCCAGGTCCTCTTTATGTGCACTAATGGGAAAAAACCTCTCAATCTCTCTCCCTCTCCCCACTTCCCCCTCCCCTCACTCTATTAGCCTTGAAGATAAAAGTGAAGGAGATTGCCTACATCAATGGGGATACCAAGATCACCCCTGAAACAAAGAGCAAAACCATCTACAAGCTGAATGGGCTGACGGAAAGGGATCTGAGGAAGATCGTGCTCTGGCTCAAAGGTGGCCTCCAGTGTACCTGTGATGAGATGAATGACATCAACGTCCCCTACTTGGTGATGGGGCAGAAGCAAGCTGGGGAACTGGTGATCACCTCGCTGAAGCGGTGGCAGAAAGGGCAGCGGGCTTTCAAACGGTTCTCCCGCAGCATCCGCAAACTGCAGTGCTAGTGGCTTCAGCTCTGGCCACCTCCAGCAGCCGCCTCTGTCCCCAGCTCTCTGGGCCTCCCGCACCTTCTTGCTTCAGCCCCTCTGAGCCTCGAGATGCCACGGCCATGAGACACGGTGACCGCTCTTCGAGGGGCAAGGGAGCCCTCCGTTTCTGTACATAGGTTAAAATGTAATAAAAAAAAAAAAAAATGACTATTTTTGGGGAGTATTAAAGTATCTCGCTTAAAGCTTTTTCCTTTTTTTTTTATGGTTGCAAATGTGACTTTGGTCTGAGGTTTTTCCCTCTTCATTTTGGTAATGCTGGTTCATTTATATTGCTGCTTCTCTGTATACATGCATGTTTGTTGTGCAAAAGTAGGAGATGCAGAGAAAGACAGCCATGCGTGCGACTGGCCTGTCACAGTGGGTACGACTCTTTCACCGAGGTGAAATGGCTTGCCATCTATATTAACACTATAAAGGTCCTGTTACAACTCTTGCATGTGATACGTAGGCACCAGTAAGAGTATATTAACCATTCTCACATTTTATTTTCCACAAGTCTGAGCCCTTCTCTCTCAGAAAAAAATGAACAAGTTTTGGAGCTGGTTGATCTGAATGCAACTTTTTTTTTTACTATTTTGCAAATTAAACCATCTGTAGCCTAACTGTAATATACCTAGCGGTTAACCTGAAAGAGTTGTAAAATATTGCTTTAATTAACCTTGTAAATACTCCAGATAAATGTTATATTCTTGTATATAAACTTTACATCATCGTTTACCCATTGTCTTGGTCTGTATTCACTTTAATCTGTGTTGGGAGAAAGCTGTCCAAGTGGGCTTTGTCACGGCAAAGCAAAATCTGGGCTTCCACGCCAAGTGGCCAGCAGAGAAGCACGAGGAAGCATCTAGTGCTGCAACCAGAAAAGACACAGTGGACGTCATTTCCACAAAGATGAACCCACGAGACACGGGACTGAGGTTCAGTCAACTCCTTTTAACGTGTCTGTTCAGCTCTTCAAGACGAAGAGTTTTCTGGGGCTCCTTTGTTCGGCCGCCTGCATTTTCATCTCATCTTCTCAGAAGACTCTGCTCTTTGCTGATGTGGAATTGCAATGAGACCACTTGCTTAAAAATCAAATCTATTTATCCATTTCTTACACTTGAAAAAGCCATATTAAGGAGTGCAAGAATAGACAGAAAAATTTCATTTGCAGCTAGCAAGTCAGAATAATGATAGAGCAAGGCATGTTTTGTGTATGTACACTCACTATTCTTACTGAGAAAGAAAATAAAACCTAATTAATAGTGTAACTAGCGGAATGTTTTTCAGCATTTTTCTTACGAATGTTTCCTGATGAAGAGCATTACCTGCTAGAATTTTATTGTACTTATCCTGAAAAACAGTCTTGCTTCCCAGTGCTGCCACATAAAAAAGTCCTCTTAGCTTCACTGAGAGGATGAGCAGTCCAATATTCCCAAGGACAACGTTTTATCTTAACCATTGCAGACAGAATGGAAATCCAACACTAGATTGTTCTTTAAAGTAAAAAATCATATTAATTTCATATATTTAGCGTGATTTTTTTCACCATCAGGATAAAAAGATAAAATCTAAAGATCCAACATGTTACATTTGTTTTAGAAAAATGAATTGTTTGCCCTCTCCCACAGTCTTAATGCACTCACTACACCTGGTACAAACAATGGTAGGCCTCTGACCAAGCAAGACAAGAGCAGTCCTCACAAATGTCCTCAAAAGTATAACAATTAAAAAAAAAAAGGCAACAAACCACCAAACAAAAAGCCCCATTCCAAACTGGCTCTTAATTATTTTGTGAAACAGTATCTTTATTTAAAGGCCAATACATTGCTGAAATGTCATTAAAACTTTTCTTCTGAATGGACCTGGCTTCCCAGGAAACAGATTTGAGTCTTTCTGTGCTATGGCGTAATTATTATAATACCAGCACTATGTCCATCATCCTACAGAGCCATCGGCATCCAGATGTCACATCGCTCTACCCATTTCACTCAGCATAAAATGTAATACCTGTCCCTGAACAACCTTGGTTTTAGAGGGAACAAGCTCACAGATAAAGAGGAGCGGGCTGAAGATGAGCCTGCAGAAAATGGGCTTGTGCTGCCTGGTGGAGGAAAGCACTTCGAAGAGGCAGTCATTGCAATGCAGTCCCTGGGGAGGGAAAACGAACAGCCAGGACTGCTCCACTCAGCCTGCCTTACAGATACTAAGTCCTCCTACAGCAACCATAAAATTATCTTAATTGGGCTGTCCTAGAAGGCAGCAGTACTGACGCTGATGAGGACAGACAGGTCACAAGTTACTCACTCTGGGGTCATGTTAAGGCCAAGACTACATAATAGATTTTTGCCAAATCACTTAGATGTATGAAGACACATGTACCTATGACCAACATTGCTCTGTCTTAAAAAAAAACAAACATTCCCCTTCCTCCATCACAAAATAAACACCATTACACCAGCGAAATCCTGTTTCTGCCAGGACAAATTCAGGAGAAGAAGAATAAACTAGACTGGCAAGCATTCAGTTTTACTAGTATAATCAGCGTCCTGGATTAAGAGTATCCTGCCATACAGCATACCCCTACCGATAAGGCCTTCTGCACGTGGCCCTGGGCTGAATCACTGGGACTATCCACCCTCAGGGTAAACTGGCAGAGGCAGGATTACCTTTCAGATAAGCAGGATTTAGGCAAATGTGAGTAATGGTCCTCACGTTTTCCCAGTTTAGTTCCATTACCTTGTTCTAACACTATCGTATTAAAAGATGGGTCATATTCACCTCACCAAGGAGAGTGAGTGTCAGTGCTTGTTACACTATTTCCAAAGGTGTATAATCTAGACATTGCGAACTATTCAACTGAAAATTAGGATTTTAAAGTCACAGCCTGAGGAATCTTCATCTCTCAGATGCTGGCAAAGAAGTAAACGCATAAATTTTTCACATTTTTACCCTTACTCTTACTTGCTCAACAATAACTGAAAATCTTCGACTGTGCCAGGCAAATAGTGAACCAAACATGTAATAAAAAATTATCGGAGCCTGTTTCTTCTGATCTGATCATTGTGTCACGTATACTTCAGAGTAACTTCATTACCTGGTATGGTATGGTTCAGTTCTAGCAGAATTTTTTTTTTTTTGCAATTGATGAAAAAAGGCAACCCACTGTTGCATTTTTCAGACACTTTTTGTCTTCTTCTAATTAAAACAACATTGTTAGGCAGCCAGTTATGTAGCTCCCATTGTATTTGCTTTCATAAAAACTATAAAAGCAGTTGACTACAATGGATTAGTTTAAGAACAATAATAATGATACTTGACATTTATGCAGAAGTTTCCATTTAAGTTTCTCAGACTGCCTTCGCAAAAATAGGCATTAATATCCCTACTTTGCAGATCAGGAAAATGAGGCACAGTGAAGTGAAATAACTCATTCAAAACCACCCAGCAAGTCCTTTACAGTCATGAAAAGAAGCATATTTTTTGTCTCCAAGTTTTATGCTCTAATCACTGCACCACAGCAATCAGAATGGTATATAATCAAGGCAGCACTTAGATTATAATTTGAAAGCATAACAGCAACCAAGGTTCCCTCCCTCCTTTTTCCCCCTGAGTGTGTAAAAAAAATGACTGCCCAAATTCGAATTTAAAACCCATCAGCAATATTGCTCGCAGTCTTTTCCTTTCTTCCTTATTTATTGTTCTCTCGATCCTTTAATTACGTCTTAATCCTTTCTTTTCTCCCTCATTTCTCATCCACTTCAGACACCCACAGAGAAGCCACTCAGCCCCTCTCTCGCCTCTCTCATACAGACACTTTCGCCCTCGGTATGGTTTATTAAAGAACTCATGCAGTATAACTACACACAAGCCACAAAAATCCTAATGACCAGCTTAAGACACAAAAAGACCCATGCGGGAAATTCAGCAAGAGAGCAAGAGGCATTTAAATTTAATTAATGATTTTCTGTGAGGACAGGAGGGTGGTTAGATGCCACAAGGAGCACCACAGACACATGCTGGTCGCCTCAGGCACAGCCACTATTCCTATTCTGCAGCAGGAGAATATAAGGATATTTAAAGAATATAGCGAGCACCAAGACCACACAGATAAAGCACACCTTCCCTTGCATGGCCAGGTCTCCTGCACATCTCAGCCCCATTATTATAACCCTGTATTCCCCCACTGGGGCCACGGTGCACCTCTCTCAACCTTCTTCCAGATGTCTCACTACCTCTCTTCAGCTATCGAGGGCATCAGCCAAGAGCAGAGCCACTGTGACTCAAGAACAGACCACCTCATCGTCCCCCAGGTGCCTGCTGGGGCACGAGCGACCACCGTGCAGCCGGCAGGGCAGCCCCTTTTTTGCTGCGTCTGCAGCCTGCTGCCAACCTCGCCAAACCTACCAGCCCTGTGAGCCCTCTTGATGTGTCCACGGTTGGCAATGCCAGAGGAAGGGCGATGGATTGACTGCTACCAGAGCAGTAGGCGGCCTTCCTTAGGTCGGGCAGCCCAGGCTTTTGTTATTGGAGCCAGAAGTTCTTATTTCTAGGCTTCAGAGACATGCCTGTATGATTTATCTAGAAGTTGCTTTCTTATCAGCAGATGTAGATTCAGTACAGCCTGACTGTCTGATGAAACAACCACAGGAATGGATCTTGTTTGCCTCTGTACGAAGAGGAGAGTGCAAGATATTCACATCACAGGAATCCAAGACCCCAAGCTGTCTTACAAACATAAATTAGCCTACGCTATATCCCTTCGGGGTGAATTTAATAGGGTAACATTTTCCAAATGCATCAACCCCCTTCAGGGTGAGCCGTGGGCTCCTAAATCACTTAGATGCCTTGGAAAATATTAGCCGCTATCCCCCACCAGAGTTAAAGCCAGTTGGCCGAGGTCAGCCAGCAAGCCTGTCACCCAGCCAGGAAGAACACCTCAGCAATCAGCCAGCCAGCCCATTGCTCTCACGACT